TTTTCGTTATTTATTACTATAAAAACTCCATTTCTAACAAATCAAATTTACACCATCAACACCAACCTACTACTGTGGTGGCCAATTCACTCTCATATTACATAAAGAACAAAAAAGGCACAATACCGTGACTGGAACAATACACAACCCGCACACAGGAGAGAGAAGCTTATGACGACGTTTCAGTGTGACTTGTAAATGGTCAAGTCGGACCGAAACGCAGTCATAAGTTTCTCTCTTCTATGTACGGGTTATTTGTGTATACAGTGGAACCTCAAAAATCGAACTGCTCCCAACTCAACCAATTATGTAAGTGTATTTTTGTAAGCGCTTTTATAAGTGTATTTTTGAGGGTCTGAAATGGACTAATCTAATTTACATTATTCCTGATAGGAATAAATTCATTCGGTAACGGCACTCGGACAGCCTTCTGGACTGAAGAAAGTTCGATATTTGAGGTTCCACTGTATTACATAAATCATGATCACAAAGAAAATAAAACAACTCAAAATTTATTTTTCATATTTACCAATCCATGTGCCTAAAACGTTCCATATAAGAGACCAAACATTCCAATAAATTTTTGAGTTTTAAAAGGGAAATATCCCCACCATTTATGGTGAAATAAATGCTGGGTTCTTAAACAGGCAAGCACTCTGTGTAAATTTTATTGTATTAACCTAAAAGGGTTAATACAATTAGCTTTTCATCCGTGTAATGTTAAAAAAACGGATGAAACATTTTCTCGTCGACTTGCCATCTTGCCTCTGGAACCGGTCACTTCACACAACGTCAACAACTGGTTACAGTGAGGACCAATAATGCCAAGATCGAAGTGGGAGGGGACAGGAGTGCTGTAAAGACAACTAGGGTCAATGCCACGCCTGACTGGTATCGTCTAGTGACCCCCGGCTGATGCTGGCACTGTCAGGATCAAGACGAAGTGGCCCGAGAGAGTACTAAGTTACGGTCACGTCGGGAACACTTGAGGGTGTGTGTTGGGGACATACTTGAAGGGCGACGTAGGGAAGCCAGTGGGGCGACGGAAGGGAGGCAGGAGAAACGAAGCAGAAGGGAAGAGGCAGAAGAGGAGGGGCAGAAGGGAAGAGGCAGGAGGGAAGAGGCAGGAGGAGCGAGGCAGGAAGGTCACACCAAGAACATTAAACAATCATGTACTCGTACAACACAGCAGTGTACAGCGACACATGGAAGGCTGACGGGCACTGGTGTAGGACACAGCTGCACGCTCATATGAGGCGCAGATTTACCAACCAACCCCCAGCTTAGAGAGGTAGAACCTTGAACCAGGCTTCGGTCCACCCTCAACCATTACAGTCTTCATGAGACGGAAATCTGGGGAGACGAGATCTGTTAACGACCCATAAAAAATAAACAACTTGATGTTTAGCAACATTTCCACACTTTTTCGAGGATTCTTAAGGTGTTTTAGGAAATTCTGCTATTGATAGCGACCTCAGACAACGCTGAAGTGTAACCAGGAAAACACTTAAGAAGTGTACACTATATAAAATTAATACTGCTGGCTGTGAAGACTACAGAATAAACAATTATTGGATGACACTTACAATATAGTTGAATACTTGTAAGATGGCGAGAGCTTACAAGACAGTATGGCGCACTTACAACAAAGCGAGAGGCACTTACATAACACCGGGGCACACAAAATAGTGGGACGTACTTACTAGATATTAAGACTCACTCATACGAAAGTGAGACGAACATATAAGAAGGGGACGTACTTGCAACACTGTGGGACGCATTTACAACACAGAAGGAGGCCACTTACATAGTGGGGACGTAATTATGCCATCGTGTTACGCCCTTACAACATGCCGTGACGCAAGTACATCACAGTAGGATTCTCTTACAACAGTGGGACGCAAATCTATCACAGTGGGACGCACTTACAACATACGCACTTACAACATAGTGGGACGCATTACACAGTGAAACGCACTTACAACACAGTGTGACGCACTTATAAATAGTCGTAATAACCCTTGAACCACCAGTGCAGAGGCGAACACATTCAAACCTGTGTGGATCTCACTCCATCCTCACTAATTCCTTCAAGTTAAACCCTTTGTGCACACCAGTATTATTTTACTGTGGTGCTCTCGTGGGGATCAGATATTCAATTCCTATTTATTTATTCATTTGGTTTTAGACATGGCAATTATAACTTGTCGCTGCCAACATTGCTATTCCAGTGTTTCAATCATGTGTGTGTGTGTGTACTCACCTATTTGTGGATGCAGGGGTCGATTCATAGCTCCTGACCCGGCCTCTTCACTGATCGCTACTAGGTGTACGCGCTCGTGCGCTCTTTCATGATTTCTCAAATTATAAAGGTTAATAACATGTCCAGTACACATGTACTGCCAAGTAGAATATGTCCAGTACACATGTACTTCCAGGTAGGATATGTCCAGTACACATGTACTGCCAGGTAGGATATGTCCAGTACACATGTACTGCCAGGTAGAATATGTCCAGTACACATGTAATGTCAGGTAGGATATACAAGTGTCCAGTACACATGTACTGCCAGGGAGGATATGTCCAGTACACATGTACTGCTAGGTAGAATATGTCCAGTACATATGTACTGCCACAGACGGTATACCTTTAATTTACCCTTGACTAGTTTCGAGGGTTTTCATACTCCGGCCCTAGGCCAGGTCTGTCTGGTAAACCAGGTTGCTGCTGTTGGTGGTCCCGCTGACCCATATATCCATCACAGCCTCATTGATCCAGCGCTTGGCGAAGACACTGGTTCAGTTTCCTCTTCAACACTCCTGCACTTGTCCCAGCAGCATTTCTGATATCTTCTGGTAGATACTTTGCGTCCACGGATGTTGACACAATATTTTCTTATTGTGCCCGCAGCACCCCATGCTTTTCACCGAGTTTAACACTTACTCTCATATCTTTCACGTCAGTACGTTGTCATGGTACTGAGTAGGTTTGGGACTAGGACCTGGTCATGGACCGGGCTGCAGGGGCGCTGACTCCCCCGAACACCCTCCAGGTATACTTATCATCTCTCTCCTCCTCCCCTTCCGAGGATACATATTTAACACTAAGGCGTTCACAGTAGTTTAATTTACTAATTATATGCTGGTTTTAAATGACGTCAGTACCTCTTCCAGGTCTGATATCTCTTCTGCCATGAACGGGTCCGCTACATGTGCTGCTAGGGAGGGATATACACGTGTCTATTACCCATATCGGAAAAATAGACAGAATATTATGCGGGGGAACAGCTGATCGTGAACTTTCAAAATTAAAATGACCAGAATGATTATTTCACATTGGAAATCTTTTCGTCATAGAAGATGGTGGGAGGCAAGGGTGTGACTGTGAGCCTCTGATTAGGAAAGTTTTGAATGAATGTGTGTGTGTGAGAGAGAGAGAGAGAGAGAGAGAGAGAGAGAGAGAGGATAGGGGGAGAGGGGGGATAGGGGGAGGGGAGAGAGAAAACATCACTTCATCTGAGCTCATTTATTCCTAGGATGACTCGAGTCTGGAACATGTTCGTACAGCATAATGATATTAACCAAATAAAGTCAGTTGAACAAATGAAACTGCTGTCCCACATATGGCTCCAACTTCATCCTGTTCCATATTTGTATGTTACATAGCAATAAAAAGGCTTTTAAATCAGCTGATGTAGGTAACATAGCTTGTAAATAAAGTTTGGAATTCTTATGCTAACCTTGTAAAAAATGTAAAAAAAAAGGGGGGTGGGTAGGTTTGTAAAGGTTAAGGTTAGGGGGTGGGGGTTAGGATCTCGTATGGTTGCAGCCATTCTTGCGTATAAATCGTTCTTAGTTTGTTCAGCTTCTCTGATATTGAACCCTCCCTTCCTCTTCCCCCTCTCTTTTCCGTCCCTCTCCCTCCCCCCTCACACCACCTCTCAAACTTTCCCGCTCGTAAAACAATCAACTTTCTCGGAAAAGAAAGAGGAATAGGCGAATCAAATGTGGGCGAGGCTTCCGAAAGCGCTTTAGCTGTACGTCAGCTACTTAACTGTCTTGTGTCTACCTAGCAGCTACCTTCGCAGTTGTTGTCACGTCCTACTAGCAGCTACCTTCACGTCTAGGAGCTAGCTTCAATGTTGTCGTGTCTAACTAGCAACTAGCATCATAGCTGTCTTCACGTTTAACTCGAAGCTAGCTGCATAGCTCTCATGTCTAATAGCATCTAGTCTCATATTTGTTTTCATGTCTAACTAGCATCAAGCTGCATAACTGTCTTCACGTCTAAATAGCATCTAGCTTCATATGACTGCACGTCTAACTAGCAGCTAGCTTCACAGCTGTCTTCACGTCTAACTAGCAGCTAGCCTCAGAGCTGTCTTCACGTCCAACTAGCAGCCAGCTTCACAGCCGTGCTTCACGTCCAACTAGCAGCTAGCTTCACAGCCGTGCTTCACGTCTAACTCGTGGCTTCACTCCCAGCCGCTGCTGCACTCAATTGCTCCTCCGTATTCCGCTCCTTAAATCCTCAATCCTTACCTAATGATGCGTAGAATTTCCCTCCGTTAATTTCCGGAGAGGTTAATATATCCTGGGCTCTTCGGGTGGTAGACAGGAAAAAAAATAGAAAGTAGACAGTTTTTCCTGTTTTCATATATGAATGGAAATGGCATATTTTATTTGGCGCGTTGATATAAGAAACCTGGTGCCTGCCTGATAAAATACATCTGGTGCCTGATACAACATACCTGGTGCCTGATACAACATATCTGGCGCTTGATACAACACACCTGGTGTCTGATACAACATACCTGGTGCTTGATACAACACATCAGTTGCCTGATACAACACACCTGGTGCCTCATACAACACACCTGGTGCCTGATACATCACACACACACAGTGCAGTAACAGAGTCGTAGAAGGTATCCTTTGTAACAATAGGCACAGACAAGCTTCTGTACGCGCCAAGAGACAAGAGTGAGGATCAAGACTTACCTTAAGTGGCAGCTTTTTCCACTTAGCTCGCCTCTTGAGGTAGCGCTTCTCGAAGTTCGTGTCCCAGAACTCCTTGCCACGCATCCACGCTGGCTGTGGGATGACAACAATGACAAACTCTTAACTATTATTATTATTATTATTATTATTATTATTATAGTTTAGCTATGGGAGGACAACACTTTCAAACTGGTATAACTATTATTATTATATTGTTATTATGGTTTAACTCTGGGTGGACAACAGCAAATTTATTATTGTTAGCATTAATAAATGAAGATAATTCCAAATTTACTGTAACGAAAAAACGAAATTAAATTTGCTATAATGAATAAAACACACTAAAGTTGCTATAACGAATAAAACAGTCAGCTTGCTATAACGAATAAGAGAGTGAACATGTTATAATGAATAAGAGAGTGAACTTGCTATAATGAATAACAGAGTGAACTTGCTATAATGAATAAGAGTGAACTTGCTATAATAAATAAGAGAATCAAGTTGCTATAATGTATAAGAGAATCAACTTGCTATAATGAATAAAAGAATCAATTTGTTATAACGAATAAGAGAGGCAACTTGTTATAACGAATAAAACACTCTAAACTTACTATAACGAGTAGAATATATAAATTACAGTTGCGACTCCTGATTTATTCTTCCAATTGACAACTAAAGTAATAACCTCAAAAAAAATTTATATAAGCAAATGTTATCGTGAACAATATGAACAAATGTTATCGTGAACAATATGAGCAAATGTTATCGTGAACAATATGAGCAAATGTTATCGTGAACAATATGAACAAATGTTATCGTGAACAATATGAACAAATGTTATCGTGAACAATATGAACAAATGTTATCGTGAACAATATGAACAAATGTTATCGTGAGCAAATATGAAGAAATGTTATAAAAAATGTTATCTGGAACGAATATGTAGAAATGCTATTATAAATATATGAACATCTTATGAACCAATGTTATCATCTATGTTATCCTGAACAAATGTTATCCCCAATGAATGTTGGCATTCATTCTATCCTGAATGTTATGAACGAATGCCATGAACAAAGGTTATCATGAACACATGCTATCCTGAATGTTATGAACGAATGCCATGAACAAAGGTTATCATGAACACATGCTATCCTGAATGTTATGAACGAATGCCATGAACAAAGGTTATCATGAACACATGCTATCCTGAATGTTATGAACGAATGCCATGAACAAAGGTTATCATGAACACATGCTATCCTGAATGTTATGAACGAATATTACCTTCAACAAATGTTATCATGTATGTTATTAACGAATATTACAGTGAACACAGTTTACTTTGAACAGATGTTATTAATTACAAACATTAACAAAACGTGAGGGAAGATAACAAATGTAAATAAACTGAACGTTTATATTCTGATAACTTCCTTAACCCGAAGATAATACCAGAGAACGAAATAAACCCACCCGATCACAAAACTGAATAAACCCATATGATCAAAGACCTGAATAAACCCATGCGATCAGAGAACGGAATAAATCTATAGGATCAGAGAACGGAATAAATCCATACCATCAGAGAACGGAATAAATCTATACGATTAGAGAACGGAATAAATCCATACGATCATTGAAAGGTATAAACACCATTGAATCGAGAACAGCTATAAATCCTCTAGGTAAGATTTTTTAATTCAATGTCAGAGAAATGCATATCTAGGGCGAGCCAAGACGCAGTGCACTATATATAGTGCAACCACGAAACAAGTGACGTTAATGCAATTAACAAATTTCGGTTGGCCGAGGATCGAACCCATGTCATTCTAGTCCCCCCCCCCCCTCTCGTGGGAAGCAAGTAAAAATTCACGACGCTTTAACTACTGGAACATACAATTGTTCAAACATCACGTACCTCGAGGAACTAAGCGTGTTTCATAATGTGCGGACATACGTGACCGTTGTCAGCTCAGAGCTAATTTCATTATTCTCCTGTTTGTATACCAGCCTTCACGAGAGGTCCATATATTACTGCAACCACGAAACAAGTGTTATTAATGCAATTAACAAGTCAGTAGTTAGAGCCTCGTGAATTCTGACTTGCTTCCCACGAGGCGAGTTAAAATAACAGGGGCTCGATCCTCGGTCAGTCGCAATTTGTTAATTACAATAATACCACTTGCCTACTACATGATGTTCGAAGGATTATACGGTCCAGTGGTTAGAGCGCCGTGAATTTTGACTTGCTTCCCACAAGGTGGGATATCTATATCATATATATATATATATATATATATATATATATATATATATATATATATATATATATATATATATATATATATATATATAATAATACACATACACACACACACACACACACACACACACACACACACATACCTTGTTCGAGTTCAAGTGATTGCGCACATAGTGAAACATGGTGGTAGAACACCGCAGTTTTACTACGTCAAGATAATCTCTGGGCAAATTTAAGTGATAAATACTGGCACACAAATTATATCTAGATATCGCTATTCACTTTTGTACAGTGCAAGTGGAACTGGAGAAACAAAGAGCAACAGGAGGGTGGCAGTTGGGATGGAGTGCTGAAAGCTGAGGTGCTCCAATACTAAACTGTGTTAATGATGTTCTAAGTACGTTCAGTGTGATCTTGAGAACACTAAGACACTTATTCGACGCACACTGTGATCTTGAGAACATTAAGAACACATCAGGGCACAAAAACAAAATCTTGGTTAATCTTAATGCTTTACACAAAATGTTCAACAACGCTAGGTCAATACTGTTGAACAAATAAAAAAAAATAAAAGCAACACAATGGAAAGTAATATTCAACTGCTAAAAAAAATGAAATAAGACAAACGTACAGTTTGCAGAATAAACTTTTATTAGCACAACGTATCGCTCTATATAGAGCTTTAAAAGAACATAGAACTGAAGTAGGCCTCTTGACCCATGCTAGGCATTTCCAAGTCAAACGTAAACACAGCCACTCTTATGCTTGTTCAATCTAACTTTAAGGCTGTCAACAATACTATTCGCTTCAATGATGATGCTTGCTAGTTTATTCTACTCATCCTAACTATTGCCGAGCAAATTCTTTCCTGTATCATTTGTAAATCTAAATTCATCCTAGTTTTTTTGCAGTATGTTCTCCAACTTGTGTCTGTTTCAAGTTTTTTCACATTTTTTAATTTTTTTTTTAGGAAAACCAATTTTTTCCACTAAATTTACGAGATGTTTGGTTAAAAAATCATTGGAGTGAAAGTGCCTAATATTAAGATTTTAATCCGTGTTGAAAGAACACGAAAAGTGTAAATATCACACAAATTTGTATCATATACTGCTAACTAACTAGAGAGAGAATTGTGTAAACATTGGTTTAAAAGTGCCGAGCACACTCTTGGATGATGATGTAAGCCAAGTCACTGAAAGACACTATTTTCACAGTGAAAGCTTTATTCTGAAGATTCGTCCTGGAGTGGACTTTTATCAAGTATAATGAAAGACGAATACACAGCCTCGTAAAAGTGAACTTCTCTGTACAGTCTTCTCGTCTTACACTGGAGAAACGTAGATGCAATAGAAGAGGTGTATGTGGACACAAGAGAGACTAGCGCAGTGTAGGGAAAGGTTAGGTGGATATAGCTACCATTATGGTGATCCGTCCTCTGCAAGGAAGCTCTGATATGGTAGGGAGGGACAGAGTTTGAAATATTAACTAAAAATTATTACTCGACCTGCTTCTTAATATCCTACTTCCTCCCCTTCCTTCCCTTCCTCTCTCACTCACTCCCTCTCTCTCACCCCCTTTCCTTACTCCCCACCCTCCCTTTCCTGAGTCCCTCCCTCCCTCCCTGCTTTCATCAGGCCATCAATATAAACTGGTGAATAATCATAGGTTCTCTATTACAGGAGGGCCGTTACCAGGCGACCCGAGTCGCTATAAAGGTGAAAAATGGTACATTATCGCCCTGCTCCCTGGACATATATCTCGCTCTGCATGGTGCGCCTATTTCTCTCTCTGTCTTCCAGACTCACCTCCAGTCCTCACTACATTCTCACAACGAACTCGTGCACACTTCGAGGGGGATACGCATGCACATGCATACGTATCCCCCCATACACACATCTAAGCGTACGTCAAGCCCATATTGAAGTATACAGCACCAGTATGGAACCCACATCTGGTCAAGCACGTCACGAAATTAGTGGAAAAGTTTGTTGGTTGAATACTGGGGTAACATTTGCCGGTTGTTTTAATACTGGGGTAACATTTGCCGATTGTTTGAATACTGGGGTAGCATATGCTGCTTGAATAATGGGGTAACATTTGCTCGTTGAGTACTGGGGATAACGTTTACTTATTTGGCACCTTGCTTACTGCTAAAGATTTGTTAAACATTACAGTTATGTAAGCTATTACATTCTATGACACCTCTAAAACATAGTTCACGTGGTCTCCTTAATTTGTTAGCATTCAGCTTCTCCAGATATTTACAAATATGTCAATACTGCAAATATCGTTAGTCAAGTTCAGGCCTAAAAAACACTGCGGCCTGGGAATGTTAGTGTCGTGTTCAGCTGTAATGTTGTGTTGAGTAGTGAAGCTGTTATCTATGTTGTTAGTTATATTTTTCGTTAGCGAGAGTTAAAAGTCTTATCGTGGTTTGTACTTTGTTTTTCAAACTTATCTGAAGATTACACAAATAACCCGCACGTAGGAAAAAGAAGCTTATGACGACGTTTCGGTCCGACTTGGACCATTTACAAGTCACTCTATAACTTGTAAATGGTTAGACCGAAAGTCGTCATAAGCTTCTCTCTCCTAAGTGTGAGTTATCTGTATATAGTTCCAGTCACGGTATTGTGCCTTTCTGTATTCGAAGAATTCTCTTGGATTATCTTCGCTGCTATGTACAATTCATCTTTCAGATTCCAGTTTACTAATTCGTATCTTTCTCTCGTTTTCCATTTGTAGCCATTTATAGTTAGTGTAAACTTCCAAGTTATCAATGAAAATTTCACCTCTGAATTACGTTAATTGTCTATGATCTCAACTA